CATTAAGAGATATTTCTTGTATGTAAGATCCAATAGCAAGGTGTATCTTTGCTTTATGTGAAAAAGTATCGCACCACAATATAGAATATGCTTCACAAAACCATTCAGAATTAACTTGTATACAAGAATAAAGCGTTTGAATATCATTTGCTAAATTTTCAAAGATTCCTTCTAACACAAGTGATGGAAGTTTTTTTTGTAGTGATTTAGAAGAGTTAGGCATTTGTTGATAGTAAAATTATTTATTTATTTAAATAAATATTAAAAGACTTCAATAAGTTTGCATTATATTTACTCACTGACTTTTATTTAGTTGTAATTTGTTGTTCTTCTTTTTAACAAATCTTTTATAAAATAGAAAATTTTTTCATTGAACATATTTAATTAAAATTTTTAATATTAACTAATCAAATTGATCAAAAAATTTCATTCAAAAGAATTTGTAATTTAATTCTTTTGATTCATTTTATAATCAATTGATAACTTTTTATTCAATACATAGAAATCATATGACAAACCAACTAGATTTTTTATTGATTTCAGTTTAATTGCAATAATTGCAACTTTTAAGAGTTTTAATTTTGTCTAAAACTCTTTAAATCATGTTAATTTTAGATTACATACTGTATATTCACTGATGCAAGAATATTCAAATAACCAAATTGACAGTTTTTTAAAATTACTTCGTATCTTTTTTAAGCAAAATATACATGTAATTGCTAGTGATGAAAATCAATATATTTACACAAGATGCAAATATAAATTAATGAAATGCACAAGATGCAAAATGAATGAAGCTATGTTTCCAACCAAATTAGTATTCTATTGCAAAATATGTAGTCGTGTTTTTTTGAGAGAGCATGATATTAAGCAACATAAATACAATAAAGGTGATTAGTCAATAGTTTTATTTAAAAATTAAATACTCTACTGAAATTATTTTTTAATATAACTAGATATAATATTTATTTTTGCTAAAAATGAAAGTAAGATATTAGGACTAGGTTAGAATTTTATACTCGCTGATATAAATTATATATAATTATATCACTTCTTTTTTTTAGTTAACTGCTTATTTTGTTGCATAATCATATCAAAAAATTTTGTAAAAATAATTTTATTTCAGCATTCAATAATGCTGAAATACTATGTTTTATGGCCCCATAAAGCAATGCCCAAAGAAAAGTTCCTCAGGTGCCATTTAAATTCCTATGAATTTGAAATCTATACATATTGAATCTAAACTTTTAATTCTTTCTAAATTATTTTTAATATGCCCACAATCTTTCTATTTTGTTTGCAAGACATTCGTGTGCTATCAAATATTAGAAACACAAATATTTGTTAGTTTATTTAATAAAATTAAAGTATAAAACAAATTCAAATCTTGTAGAATAAAAATTAAATAAATAATAAAATAAGCTATAATAATATATCAAAAGAACAAGATATTCATAATGCAGATTTTTTGTGTGCTTCATTTAAATTTGTTTCCTTAAGCGAGCTTGAAGCGTGACAAGAAAGTAACTTTTTTTGAATCAATTTAAAATGAAGTCTGACAGAGCATACGTCATACCAAAATACCTGAAACTGGAAATAAGTATAATGATAACAAATTAATTTTCCATGAATTCTGGCAGAGTG